GTGGCATATTATTCTAGGACATTGTCTGCTGCTGAGCGTAACTATGCTCAAATTGACAAGGAAGCTTTGGCTATTGTGGCTGGAATTAAAAAATTCCATGATTTTATTTATGGCTGCCATTTTACGGTCTTTACTGACCACAAGCCTTTGCTGGGGTTGTTTACCATGTCCAAACAAACCCCACACATCCTTTCCCCTCGCATGCTGCGATGGTCCATTTTTTTGTCAGCTTATGACTACTCACTAGTTCACAAACCTGGAAAGGAAATGGGTCATGTTGATGGCCTACGTAGACTGCCCTTGCCTGCTGTGGAGCCTGCTCCTGCTCCTGCTGTGCACATATTGTCCATTCAGGATTTGCCGGAGTCTCCCCTTAACGCTAGGGATGTGGCTGCTGAAACTGCCACTGATCACATGCTTAGACGCGTGCTAACATGGGTGCTGTCAGGTTGGCCTGACAGATGCCCAGAGGAGGATTTCCAACGCTTTTGGGTTAAGAGGCACGAGTTGTCCACGTTCAATGGCTGCCTCCTCTGGGGTTCTAGAGTTGTGATTCCGGCCTCATTGAGGTCTAGAATCTTAGTTTCTTTACATGAGGGTCACCCTGGGATTGTCAGGATGAAAGCGCTTGCGCACAGCCATTTGTGGTGGCCTGGCATTGATAAAGCCATTGAGGCCCAGGTACATGGGTGTCACGCGTGTCAGCAGTCCAGGCCGGAAATGCCTCAGGCCCCTGTTCATAGGTGGGAGGAAACACACACTCCGTGGTCTAGAATACATATAGGTTATGCTGGGCCCTTTCAGGGGCAATTCTTCCTGGTTGTTGTGGATAGCCATTCCAAGTGGCTGGAAGTTGTTCCTGTGTCATCCACCACTACTGCCAAGACTATCCAGGTGTTGAGAAGCATTTTTGCTGCCCATGGTCTTCCAGATGTCTTGGTGTCGGATAATGGTCCCCAATTTACTTCTGCTGAGTTTCAGGTTTTCCTACAAGCCAACATGATTTGCAACGCTACTTCAGCTCCATTCCACCCTTCCACCAACGGTCTGGCTGAACGGATGGTCCGCATCACCAAAGACGCTCTCAAGAAACTGACTTATGGCAACTGGCATCACAGGTTGGCTGACTTCCTTCTAGCCCATCGTACTACTCCGTGCACTGCCACGGGTAAGTGCCCGGCTGAACTCTGTTGGGGTTGCCGGCTTGTGACTAAATTGGCAGGCTGCATCCGGAGCGAGTAGCTTCACAGGTGTCCCATCCGCGCGCACCATGGGTCCTTCACGTGGGTGATCCTGTCTGGACCAGGAATTACGGGCCTGGACACCTCTGGGTCCCGGCAGTGGTCTGCAAGGTCTCAGTGCCTCTGTCCTACGAGGTGTCCTTGGACGACGGTCGCGTTCTTTGCCGCCATATTGATCAGCTGCGTGTGAGGCTGGACTCACCTCGTCTTTCTCCTCGGCCTTCTCTGGGGGGGGAGGAGTGGGGAGTGCATTCTGGGGATCAGTATCAACAGCCGACACTGGCTGTTGAGGACACCATGGGTACTCAACCCCCAAGTGCCGCAAGTGCTCCAAATAGGAATTCATGGGGCAGGGGGCAAACATACACCCCCATACTCACTCCAGCCTGGGAGTCACACCGGAGGTATCCTCACTATCCACAACTCAACAACAATACTCCAGACAAGGAGACTGACTGGGAGCATCTTCATAACTCACAGCATACAAGAGAGCAGGCACAACAGTTTGGGGACTTGCCCTTTTCAGCAATGGCTCACAGAAGGAAGTCTCCACGCATTAGGGCTAACAGGGAGGTATCCTTGGACCCTATCACTACAGAAAGGAGCCAGGAAAATTACACCCCTTCAGGGAACAAGGAGATGAGTTCAGAGGGCTCAGAAAGCTTCCTAAGAGGCAGGTCGACCAGGTACGGAGAACAGCAGAGTCCTGGCCTCCTGAGCCTAGGAGGCGAGCAGGGAGGTCAGGCAGTAGTCATAGGGCAGCCGCAGTGTAATTCACCTAGTGTGGAAAGCAATGGAGGGAACCATTCAATCTCCCCAGGTCCGAGAAGGTTGCTACGGGTCAAAGGCCCGCCCAAATACCTTGCAGATTACGTGAGGTGAGCAAGGGTTAAGTCCAGGTTGGTTAGCTCATAGGGAAAAAAAGGAGTCTGGGCTCATTTATTCTCAGAACAATAGCACTACCAATACTTTCCACACTCTGTGCATTTGATGCAAAAGTTAGCAAACACATACTCTACCAGAGGTGGCGTACATGTTGGGCGCAGCATTGTTTATCTAGGGGGGAGGGGTGTTGTGTCCTGAGCCTGCAGAAGCAGACTCGGGACGATGCAAGAGTCCCGGGCATTGCAAAAGCTGCCCGGGACCAGACTGAGTGGTGCCGGCCTAGCGCGCATGCGCGAGGCGGGAAAAGACTGCCTGCTATTGGTTGTGATTGCCCGGGGATCTGGGAGTATAAAAAGAGGCCTGCGTGCCTCTGCTCTTGTTGGTTGGTAGTTGTGACAGAGTGAGAATAAAGATCTGTTTAGTAACATGAATTGCCTCCTTCGCCATTTATCTCCGGACTTAACAGGAAGTATGTTTAATGGGGTGTATGTAGAAGCCTCAAGCATACATACTGTACTTGAGGAGTAAGAGCCATTTAATTCAATTCATATTACTATTGAAAAGCACATATTGTTTGGGTATAGCTCAGTTCAAAAATATTTCTTTTTCTTGACCAAGTATATATACGGTAGTGAAAATAAATTATGAGTTACATGATGAAAGAAGTCAGCTTTAAGCATAATCTTTATTTCCAATAATTCCTCTGAGTCATAAAATAGGTCTTTAAAATTTAAATTTAAATCTTTAAAAATTAGAATATGGGCAGCTGTATCCCTGTATTGAATCTTCAGATGTGCTCACTTGCTCAGAAAAAAGTGTTTAATTGAGAGAATTTTAAAAGGAGACTGGACAATCCATGCAGAATAGGACTATACAGAGTTGTCTGCAAGATAAATGATAAGTGACAAAGATACTGCATCCTATTTATACATGTGTATGATTTAATAAGAGAAGGTGGAGTTTGTATTGTATTGCAGAAGTGCAATACTGTTTTTGTCATTTCCCTCCCTTGCAGATATTACTAGAACTATCAGCATCTGTAAATTACCTAATCACCTTCTAATAAGTAGGTGAAGTATCTAGTTACTTACCTCTTGAATAACAGGCAGCATACAACACTAGTGGCACACAGTGCAATAGTGGCAAAAAAGCTTTTCCCCTCCTGACCATGTCTATAAGCTTCCCGATTATATTTGGTTAATTGCCAATGCATCAATATTGCAGGTGATCTAGCAGAGCTCTTCTAAGCTCCTTGTGATAGCTAATTATCTCCCAGGGTTTCAAAAATATGAGTTTTGCTAATAAGATTTGTTGATACCAAAGTAGTAATATCTGTTTATATTTATGTAAAGATTGCTCTAAGTGCATCCATTTTTCGTGCTATGACTGTGCAAACCTTTGAAGTGATGCTTTATTTTGAAGCTATTTTCAAGTTGCCCGTCTCCTTGAAGGGCAGAATTAGAGTGGGTGAACCTCCTGGATCTGGATGCTAAATAGGCTTCTGTGCGGCACCTGTTTCCACCAAAGCGGGGGGGGGGGAGCAGACTAAATCAGCCCCTTCACATTCACCTGTCTCACAGGTGAGATGTTGAGAGGTATTATGGGGGCAACCCCTCCCTCCAATGGATGGAATTGTCAGGCCCAAAGAACCAAGAACGGCTCATTGAGTCACTTCTGAGTAGTTTTTTTTATTGTTGTTCACCTACAAACAGAAATATTTTCAAAATAAAGCAACTATCTGCATAACTATTAGATATACTCTGTGAATTGCTAGGGAGTGACTGTTTTAACCCTCTTCCTGCCAACCAATTTTCCAAGCTCCACTTTGCCCTCTGAGAAAGAGCCCCTCCCTCCTATGACTCCAGACTACATTCCATCACAGGCCACTATCTGCTACTGAATGAAAGGCAGGATATTAATTAATTGCATTTTAATTGTTCCCAAGAATTTAATTGTTATGCTTTGTATACTGATCAGGCTGACCACCTGATTTGTAGAAAAAATGGGCAAAGCTCCATGATTTCAGAAACTGCATTTTTTGTAAGAAATTATTGTTTATATCCCTGGTTTCTGGCTGGGATAGTGTAAGCAGAATCATGACATCTCTCAAATTACATAGTCATTTACACAATTATGTCAGGATACACATGAGATCAGTATGGTCTGTGTTGTATGCTTATGTATGTAGCTTTTAAGCATCAGGTTCACTATTAACAGGAGAGGGCAATATTTATGGACAGGCAGTATTACTAATTGTTAAGCTGCCAATTACTAGTCATGAGCCAGTGATGTCACTAGAGGGGCAATTTAAGATTTTTTTTTCTGACAGTGCTTAGTTTGTTTTCTGGCTATGTAAATTAGATTTATCTCAGGATTAATCTTTGTAATGTTTTTATCTGTTTCTTGTCAAATAAATATTACAGGCAGCCCTGAAAAAAGTGACTTATGACCATTTTTCACACTTATGACTATTACAGTATCCCCATGGTGATGTGATTTACATTCAGATGCTTGACAATTGACTCACATTTATGACGGTTGCAATGTCCTGAGGTCATGTGATCCCCTTTTGTGACCTTCTGACAAGCAAAGTCAATGGGGAAGCCAGATTCACTTAACAACTATGATACTAATTTAATAACTGCAGTGATTCACTCAATAACTGTGGCAAGAAAAGTCGTAAAATGGGGCAAAGCTTACTTAACAAATTTCTCACTTAGAAACATAAATTTGGGGGTCGACTGTGGCCATAAGTTGAGGACTACCTGTATTTGTATGCTGTCATTTAAATCTATTCCTGTTTCAGTTGTATTTTTAATTTATTTCCCTATTTTTGGTTTTATTGAAATTTTGAATCTGTCTCATGTTTTTCAGGGAGGAAAGTCCTATACTGGACCATGTGCAGGGAGAGACTGCAGTGGGGGCTGTGAATGTTTCCCAGAAAAAGGAGCTCGTGTGAGTACCAGCATCTTATTGCATTAAAAAAATCCTATTATTTTAATGGATTAGAGTTTTTTAACCATTAAATTTGGTATAGGAGTCTGGAATTAAGATATTAATGAGTAGAATTAAAATATAAATGAACCAATCCCAGACATTGGTTCTTGATAGAAAACAAAATAATCTGGAGCTTCTTGATAGAAAACAAAATAATCTGGAGCTAGACTTTCACACCTCTGTAAAATACTCATTTATCAGAAAACAACAGGTAAGTTTATCTCTTGCCTTTACAAGGTTCACTCCTGTCTTTCCTTTTTTTTAAATCCTTGGAGGATAAATTCATTCTGAAATAAAGGATAGAGAATATCATTTTTCATTCTTGAAAATACTGAAAAGATAATGCTACATATATTAGGTACTCTGTTTTGCAAAATGCTAATTTCCCAATTGTATTTTAATTGCAAGTATCTTAAAAGGCAAGAATCTCAATGGGAGCCAAAGTGGAATCTGTGGGCCCCATGGACCTCATGTTGCCACTATCTGTATTAATGGCCTTGGCTGGTAGGGATGCCCACACAGTGGGCCTATGGCTTGTCAGAATGATGAAAGCAATATGGGAACACAAGGAGAAACCTCTCCCTTTCACAATGTAGAAAACTAAGGTTCTACATTTAGGCAAGAAAAAACAAATGTACAGGTATAGTATAGGTCCGTGGTGGCAAACCTATGGCACGCATGCCATAGGCAGCACGCGGCGCCGTCCCTAGTGGCATGTGAGCCATTGCTGGGCCAAGCTGCTTCCCTCCTCCTCTTTGCGCATGCGCAGCGCTTCATACTCTCTGCGCATGCACAGCTCTTTGTGCTCTCTGTGCATGTGCAGCTATTTGCGCTCTCTGCGCATGTGCAGCTATTTGCGCTCTCTGCACATGCGGAGCTCTCCAGGGGGTGGCTGTTTGGTTTTTATTCCCCTCCCATCTGCTGGGTGATTGCAGCAGGTTTTGGTCTCTTCTGTCGTGTTTTGAGGTTACCCACGAAGCACGTTTGTTTGGGGGGGATCCCCACTCTGGTTGCTAAGCTTGCTTAAACCCCCTTCCTCCTCCTCATTGGAACCCCCCTTTGTCTGCAACCAGCCCCAGCCCCTGCCTCGCCTCGCCTTGCCCCATGGCAATTGGCACCCTGCCCTGCCCTCTCCCTTGCCTCACCTCACCCTGCAGGATGAGCCTCCTACCCACTGCCCCACCCGCCAGAGAACCCCTGGATCTCCCCCAATCCTGCCTCCCCGGGCCCCCCAGGCATCCCTCCCCAGGAGCGACATCGAGGTGGCCACGCCCACCCAGGCCATGCCCACCCACGCTACCATGACTAACATAGCTACGCCCACTTGGTGGCCATGCATAAGTGGTTTTGGGTTGCAGTTTGGGCACTCGGTCTCAAAAAGTGTTGCCTCCATTGGTATAGGTGGTACCTTGCTCAATAGTAGTAACTGTGAGAGGGATTTTGGAGTCCTAGTAGACAATCACCTAAATATGAGCCAGCAGTGTGCTGCAGCTGCCAAAAAAGCCAACACAGTGCTATGCTGCATTAACAGAGAGATAGAATCAAGATCACATGAAGTGTTAATACCACTTTACAATGCCTTGGTAAGGCCACATTTGGAATACTGCATCCAGTTTTGGTCACCACGATGTAAAAAAGATGTTGAGACTCTAGAAAGAGTATAGAGAAGAGCAACAAAGATTAGGGAACTGGAGGCTAAAACATATAAGGAACGGTTGCTGGAATTGGGTATGTCTAGTTTAATGAAGAGAAGGACGAGGGGGGACATGATAGGAGTGTTCCAATATCTCAGGGCTGCCACAAAGAAGAGGGAGTCAAGCTATTCTCCAAAGTGCCTGAAGGCAGGACAAGAAGCAATGGATGGAAACTAACCAAAGAGAGAAGCAACCTAGAACTAAGGAGACACTTCCTGACAGTTAGAACAATTAACCAGTGGAACAACCTGCCTCCAGAAGTGATGAATGCTCCAACACTGGAAGTTTTTAAGAAGAGACTGGACAGCCATTTGTCTGAAATGGTATAGGGTTTCCTGCCTGAGCAGGGGGTTGGAGTAGATGACCTCCAAGGTCCCTTCCAACTTTATTATTATTGATCATTGCACAGTCAGCCAGATGTTCAGACTGGATTTGGCATTTTTGTCTACCTATCGAGTCCTTACCAAGGTCCTGGGATAGGCAGATGTGGATGTTTGATGGTGTTACAGATATCATTGCAGGATGGAAGCAGTTCCTAGTAAGGCCGCCTTTTGCAATTAATGGTGAATTTGTCAATGCCAATGGTGTTCAAGTGGTGCTCCAGTTGTTTTGGGATTGCACCCAAGGCGCCTATTACTATTGGTACTACCCTTGCTTGCCTTTGCCACAGTCTTTCTATTTCTATTTGTAGGTCTTTGTATTTTGTTATCTTCTCCAGTTCTTTCTTTTCTTCTTTAAAGATTTTTATTATTTTTCATCATAAAAAAAAAAATCACAAGTGTTACACAATGCTATATGAAAAAAAACCCCACCCCCCACCCCCCCGGACTTCCCAAACCTAATCCCAGGATAATATTCAGATATAAGTAAACAGGTATTAATATCTCTAACTCCACAAAGTACATTATTCTACATGAGTAGGTAAAATATTTAAAAAAAAAGAGCAAATTTACTAAAAACCTAAATTATA